CCATACACTTCCAATGGCTTCACATCCTGGTAAAAACAATAATACAAAGACTGGTATTCAATCAATGGTTATCTGACCAATCAAGATTTAATGCTTATAAACTCTAAACTAGTCTAGCCAATCAGAGAACAAGTGGTTTATTTCCTGGAATTGATGACCTACATGTACTGATTCTATAATGCCAGTAAGCCAATCAATGAAAGTGTTTGTTTTTTCTGGAATTAATGACCTATGACACTAATACTGGCTTGAGCATTGGTCTTATTTCCTGAATTTAATGAACTCCATCACAGCCAATCAGAAAGTAGTTTGCAATACTAGTACACACCATTCACTTCACCATTCAGTGATAAAGTGATACGAACTTACTTTACTGACGAGTGAAAGTGACCTATCCTCATCAGAAAATCTCAGAAGAGAAACACTCTTTCTGATATCAGCCGCAAGGATGAAATTCTTTATGGTACACAACGTATGGATATGAATCTGTGTGTCGATAAATGCTACACCAATCAAGTCATTGTTACGAAAAGCCCACAGGAAAATCTGGAGTGAAAATACAAGCATCCAATTATTTAAGAAATATTTGCATTATTGAAGCACGTATTACTTTGTATATGCACACAATTAAAAAACAAAATTGTCATGAGACTTATTGACAAATTGCCATTAGTTGTATGTTACTCAGTGTAGTATCATGACATGCAACACAGAAGATTCATAAAAGAGTATCTATCTGATCATACAATAAAATGACCATGTGAATATGAATTGGTATCTTACCTTTTGTCCAATGGCAGCAGCCAATAAACCTTCTATATCACACAGTGTTGTGACTGGTCCTTTCTGCTCTTTATCATATAACAACTAAACAAACAACATTTTTTACATCAATATGTGATTTGAGAAGCAATCATGTTTACTGATCCTGTGTACACAGTACAGTATTGTCACAAAATATCAGAAAATTCCTTTATTGTATTTGTAAATTTACCTTTAGTTTGTTTTTTGTCAGTGGCTGACCTGGCTCTGGTACAACTTCAATCACATCAAATATAAGAATCTGAAAGTTTACAGACAAAAATAAATATAATTGTATAACATAATGTACTGATACAGTGTGCTGAAACAGTCTGGTTCCCACCCTCATAATTTTAGACCCTTCTTTGTAGGTAGGGTTGAGTGGGGGGGGGGGGTTGTGTGGTTGGGTGGCTGGGGTGAGGTGTTGTGTG